GACGTGTCAACAAGATTGAATAAAAAGTAAAAAAAGCCATGTTTATTCGAGAAAAGCGGGCCCTCACAGCGACACACACTCTTCGGAAACTCCCATATGCCACTTACTTGCATGGCTTCCGTCCCTTCAACTCCTCTCTGACTACACCCTAAACCCTGCAGATCCAAGTGCCCAAATACTAGCCCGATAGTAGGGTGCTACTTGGAGGGTCATGGGTAGGTAGGAGTGGAGGATATCAGTAGTGTAACTACTCTTATGATCATTATGTTCGCAGACTCCACGTAAACCTATCCATGAACCTCCAAGCAGACCCTAAACCGTGAACCCCCAGAGAATCCTGTAAGGAATGCTTAAAGAAACTTCCAAGTAGGCCCAATGGTCTTTGAGATTTAAAGCCCCACTTATTTGAGTACTTGCAGGCGTACCTCTAGCCCCAAAACCTACGTACTCGGTTTAGGCTTGAGGGTGTACCTTCGGAAGGACTTAGATGGAGAAACCATGTTAAAAGGAGCCCTGATAAGCTATGGTTTGTAGGCTGCAGGTAGGGTCGGCCTCCCAGTCGTGAGCCTTTACTGCATGCAGGTGGCTCAGCTTCGTGCTCCTTGGCTGCTTTTTGTGTTTATGGTTTAGTGCGTACCTGGGGAACCCAAAACCTGCTCCGTTTTAAGGGCACTATCTGAAACTTGAATTAAGGGGTCATAGCCTGCTATTTTGTAGGGTCTGGGGTCGCAAGTTTAGGGGTGTAGGGGAGCTTTTCTTGAGGTTAGTAGGGCCACCAGCATAAGATCCCAGCATGATGGATGGGGACAGGTTTTCCGGCAGAAAAAATGCGTCGAGATAGGGGCGAAACCCTAAACGTACGGTCTCAAAACCCTCTGCGGGACATGCCTGGGTTTTCTTGAAGGGATTTAACGTAAGTTACCACAATTATAAGGGAACCATATTATTTACTATAGTAACTATACATCCCGATGATGGTGAATCAAACTAAATCCCTTAACAAGAAACCAGATTGCCCTGAACCCTCTGCGGGAGTGGCCCTAAACCCCAAAACCCTAATACCGTAATGCCCTAAGCCCTAAACCCCAATACCCTGATACCCTAATACCCTAAACCCTAATACCCTAAACCCTAATACCCCACACCATGAACGATAATATCCTAATACCCCAAACCCTAATACCCTAATACCCTAATTCCCCAAGCCCTAATACCCCAACCCCTAATACCCTAATTTATAAACCGAGAGTAGCTTCCATGTGCCTTCCATGGCCATTGGAGTTAAGGGAGTCTTGGCCCCCGAAGGCCACAGAAATGGCTTAGGGGTTTAGGGGTTTAGGGGTGTAGGGGTTTAGGGGTGTAGGGGTGTAGGGGTTTAGGGGTTTGGGGTTTTAGGGTTTAGGGTTTAGGGTTTAGGGTTTAGGGAGATATGACAATCCTTGTATAGTTGTAGCCCTGTTTGTTGTGCTCAGATGAGTCGTTTCTTGCCCAGGGTGGTTGGCGGCGGTCCCACAGGAGTGGAGGCATCTTTCTGCCGTCCTGGATTGCGACCTCACTCGTTAATCTCATGCTATGAAGTCAATGAGTCAATAGTTTAAGTACCAAGTCTTGTGTTATGTGTCAGTTCAAAGAGGTAAAATCGTGTGAGGCGATTCTCAGTTTATGCCCTGCCCTGCTTTGGTTCATCACCTGCTTTGTGACAGTCATGTCGCGAAAACTTCCATCATACATAAAAACAAACCTGTAGTGCCCTTTCACGACCTTATACCCTAAACCCTCAACCCTAAACCAAAAAAACGGGCCCTCGCTGGCCTACCTGAAGAACCACATTGGCAAGACCAACCCAAACAGGGACTACTTTAAGGCCAAAGTATATACTATTTGGGTACATGGGCCCTTAGGGAGAGTGAAGCAGGCAGGGGTTGTTTGAAAGGATCTTGTAAGGTCTGATAGGGCTCAAATAGAGTTTCGTCGGTTACCTTCTAAGGGGCATCAATATGTCGAAAATGATTTTGACATGTATTGCATAAAAAAGCTACGTAGGGACTAGGAGGGGGTACGAAGCCCTTGACTTGCATGTAATTGGGAGCTTCGACAGTACGCCAGTGTACTTCGATGCATTCCCTCATCTACGGTTTAGGGTTTAGGGTTAATGGCAGAACATTCCCAAGGGCTCCAAGTATGCAAATGGTACCTACTTTGGGGCCTAAAGTCTATAAATAGGACCTACTTTGGGCTATTTGGGGCCCCAGGAATTCCGTTCCATCTTGCTTTTTCAACTGCGGCTTTTCTGCTCCTGAGCATAGCAGAACCAGAGACTTCCAAAGCCTTCAAATCATAAGGAGTATACCTTAAACTACAACTGGAGGCCTAATATGATTTAAGGCAGACTCCTGAATTCTTATAATACTCTTTTGGAAACCTCTATAGATCCGTTTTAAAGAACCCTATAAGGTAGATTCCTTAATTTAGGGGTTTGGGAGTCTCTGGGAACGACAAGGTGGCCGCTGACATGGCAGATTTCATCACTGGTGACGCAGCGGTGGCTCTCTCGTGTCTAATGGGGGTTCCTTCAGGGGATCTTTAGGGGCTCCTTTAGGGGCATTGGGTATAGGGTAAAGTTTGGGGTTTTGAGGGGTTAGGGTTTATGGGTTTTAGGCTTTCATTGGGGTTCGGGCTTTGGGGTTAGGGTTTTGGGTTCAGAACTCAAGGTTTTGGGGACACGCTCAGGCTTTTACGGTTTGGGTTTGGGAGGGGCAGGCTGAATTTGTCAAGTCGTTCGAAGCTAGATTGACTCCCATTTAAAACCGCTTAAGCCGTATAAGACCTCCCACAACCACCTACAATCCTACAAACCCTGAAACCTAAACCCTAAACCGAATCAACGTCAGGGTCTGAAACCCTAACCCCTAAACCCTTAAACCCTAAACCTTAAGCCCTGCTGAGCATCCGGCCCACCACTCAGGAGCTCTATCCGAAGCTCATGGAATACGTCAAGGTAAAGCTCGTGAACACAGGCGCCCCATCCACAGCTTGGGGAGGTTGCAGGGTTGTTTAGGCGGTATAGGCTTAATGTATGGGGCCTACATAACTACCTATACTATTTTGAGTGGTTCCTTGTTATATTTAAATCGTATAATGTACCCCAAAGCCCTATTCTAATCATTACCCATAGGCTCCATAGTAGTTCCTTTTTTTGCTGTTCATATCTAGGATCCTATAAGGTAATCCCCAAAAGGAACTACTTTGGAGCCCATGGGTAAGGCCTTTATATTATAGCTTTATGGTTTGGGGCATGAGTGTTGGCGTCAGGAGTCCCTCTCGTTGCTCGTGAAGGGGAGTGTTGTGTTTTCGCCTCCACGGACATGCTAGGGTTTAGGGTTCAGGGTTTCGGGTTTAGGGTTTAGGGTTCAGGGTATAGGGTTCAGGATTCAGGGTTTAGGGTTTAGGGCTAAAGCCCAGAAGTATCCGGTCGTTCCGTTTGGCCCATGTCCCAAACCCGGAACCCCCCCGGGGTTTAGAGGACCTTGAGCCCGAAGCTCGGTTCAAGTCGAGGAACTTTGTCGGGCGAAATTGAGTTTAGGGTTTAGGCTTTAGGGTTTAGGGTTTTTGGGCTTATGGAGTTTAGGGGTTTGGGGGTTTTGGGGTTTAGGCCTGTAGCTTTTTCTCGAACGGAGTGTCCTGGATCCTTGTACCCAGATTGACGGAAAAGTCTTCTGTGCGCCCAGAAGCTTTTGGCCTTCTGCCAAGAGTCTGTAGCGGCTCAGTTCTGGTTTTCTACGTCCTAAACATTCCTAAACCCTAAACCCTAAACCCTAAAACCTAAACCATCCTAAACCCTAAATGTCTAGGTTCCACAGTAATTAGTACCCTTTTGCCCTTTTTAACACCAAATAGTAGGAAGAAGGGCACCCTTATTATTAAGGGGTTACTGGAGAACCTAGATGTTCATACCCAGACCTTCCAAGATGCTTTCCGTTCTAAGAGGGGGCCCTCTCCTCGAGCAGATGATCCTCCCTTAGTAGAGCAAACCCCAAAATTAGTTGGAAGGCAGGTCATATAATAAGGACAATGTTTTTTGCTGGGATTCTGTATACAGGTTACATCACTCTTAAGGGATTGAGGCTACTGGGTTTCCAACGTTTGGGCTTCTACTGTAAGACAGAAGCAAAAAGTGTGAGTAATGTCCAAAGTTTGCCGTTGGCGGCAAAGGTTTGAGGTGTAGCCGCCGTAGCCTTCTCCTGCAAAAAGCTTTCAGGGGACTTCCTGCTGTCCACCTACGACCGCGGCATCTCGCAGAAATGCATCGAGATCTTCGAGGAGAAAGGTGCTCACCGTTTAGCTGCTCAGGGTAGAACCGCGAGGGTCCATGTACCCAAGCAGTATATACTATGGCCCCGAAGTTCTTGTACATAGGGACTACTTTAAGGCCAAAGTATCTACTATTTATTTGGGCACATGGAGCCTTAAGCCCCAAACCCTATAGAACCCTTCAAGATCCCTTTCAAAGAACCCAAACCCCAAAAGAGACCCTAAAGGGACTATTTGGGTACATGGACCCTTAGGGGAAGTTGCCGGGTTCATTCTAGCACCCTCCCGAGGTCCGAAAGTCCTGGAAACGTTCCCACACTGAGGTCCCACATTTCGAGGGCATCCACTAGCCACACACCCTACTTGGAGGTTCATGGGTGGTGTCAAGTGGGGTTATAAGTCCTGTAATATGGGTCATTAGCATAGTTACCCCAATTACTTATAGTCCCGCTTACAACTACGCATGAACCTCCCTCCAAGTATATACTAAACTAACCCTAGGTCATCAACCAGGATTTCGATCTGTGATTCCTGTGAAGCTGCCGTGCAGGCGTGGAGGTCCTGGCAGGCTACCGCGTCACCGAGATTACCAAGAAGGAATCTTTGCAGCGGCGGAGATTGTTGCGCTGTAGGGTATATATATATATGTATGTATATAGATAGATAGGTAGATAGATAGATAGATAGATAGATAGACAGATAGATAGATAGTTAGATAGTTATATATATATATACACCCTAAACCCTAAACCCTATAGGTCTCTGGGGCCTTAAACTTTAAAATTAAGTGTGTAGGACCATCAAGAAGGCTCTGATCGTACCGACACTGTTCTCCGATTCGGTGTGACTTGCTGACGACCGCTAGTCTCAGCGTTGTGAGGGTTTAGGGTTTAGGGTTTTAGGGTTTAGGGTTGAGGGTTGAGGGTTTAGGGTTTAAGGTTTACTGTAGGGTTTAGGGTTTAGGGTTTATAGGGTTTAGGTTTTGCTTGCAGCCTAGCACTGCTCGTAACATCATTCAGTGTCGACGGCGTCGACGGTTTCACGCTGCTTTCCGAGGAGATCCAGATGAAGAAGAAGGATGGAGAGGCAGTGCGGCCTGCTCAGCAACAAGCTTTTGTTTAGGGCTTTGGGGTTAGGGTTAGGGTTTAGGGTTTCGGGTTTAGGGCTAGGCCCCACAGTAGTACCCTTTTGCCCATTTTGGTGTTGGGGCCTCCTAACATTTTATACCACCCAGTCCTAGTCTGAATAGCTAAGGCCCCACTTCGTGTTCCGGTGGATGTAGCGAAGAGAATGGGGCTGTTGGACTTCCTTCTTTTAGGCTGAGTGGCTCTCAAGATCTTGCAGGGTTTGGAGTTTAGATCTTGCTGAGAAGATAGTATGACTAACAGACTAACAGTCCAAACAGGTCCAGCGATCTTGAACATCATGGTGTCCTTTTAAATATGTCTGTGGCCTTGGACCCTCAGACCCTGGTCGCGTTATCTTGTGCCCAGCTTTCGGTGGACTCGGCTCAATTCGCAGCTAAGGGCTCTCGAGTACGGATGCCACTCGGCTGAAGTTACGGACAACCTACGTATGTAGGGTTTGTACACCGGTACCGCGTACTTACCCGCGTTGGTGGTGAAAGTCCGTTGAAGAAGGTCAAGTCCATAAAGACTGTCTTGTTGTGCTATTTAGATCTCGACGTTAGGGTTCATATACGAATTAGAGGTAGGGTAGCTTTGGCACAGGCAAGCCCTCGATGTTGCAGTTGTTTTACATGCCCGATTTGTAGTTCATTGTATTTCGAAACAAGATTCCGGCTGGAAGCCTAAACCCTAAACCCTCCAACCCAAACGACCTACAATTATGGTTTCAAGGGGTTTAGGGTTTAGGGGTTTAGGGTTTAGGGTCCAGTTCGGTTCTATTTCCAACTTCCGTGTTCCCCCCCCCAAGCAGCCAAAGCTAGCTTCTCCTGTAGTTTCTCCGTAGAAGGAAGGTGTTCTTTGGATTTTGGATGGTCCCTGAACCCTAAACCCTAAACCCCTAAACCCTACACCCCTAAACCCTAAACCTCTCAACCCTAAACCCTAAACCCCCTAAACCCTAGACCCTAAACCCAAGTCACACGCAAGCGCCCAGGTGTCGTGTGGGCAGCCGGAATTCGCCAGAACGAGCTGACGAACCAGCTCAAAGATCCTTATCTGACCTTCAGGGTTTAAGGGCCCCAACTTAAGCCAAGGAAGTACTGACTGGTTCTTACTGCGCAAATTATAGCGACGTCACG